AGCGCACTGCACAGGCCTTTTCCACACACACACCTGGACTATCATGAACATCATCTGCAAGATAGTGCCAATTACTACAATATCCTAACTTTGCATCAGAGATTGCAACAATTGAACCAACCCCGTGCGAGTCGGTTTCAGGTGAACATTGCGGGTCACCGGCCGCCACCACCCGTGTGCACCACACTCACGCCCAAGGAACCATGATTGTTTGGAAGCATTGGTTTCTTCATTATTACTGCATACCTCATCTATCGACCACTCCTCGCTCGCCCTGGCGGGAAAGCATAAAAAAAGCATCCGAGTGCTCGGATGCATGAGGCCCCTCCTGTGATGGCAAAAGCGACGCTGCGCAGCACGCTGAACTTGAAACGCGCCTGAAGCAGCCCGGCAGAGGGCTGCGATGTTGGCCACCTCCACCTGGGCAGGCAGCGCGACCGCCACCCCTGGCGGGGGCATGATGCTGCCCCTCGGGGGATCGCCACCCACCGCTGCGCCTCGTCTCTCGTGGGACCCCGCTGGCGTTGCGGATCGCGACACCGCGGAGGGCGATCCGCAGCTGCAGATGCAGCTCAGGCTGCTTCGAGACAGCCTCGCCACGCAGCGCGACCAGGTGGCCCCAGGCCAGGAGGGGCGCCACCCCAGCCAACCCCCGCTGCAGCAGCATCAGCACCAACCACAGCAGCAGCTGCAGCAGCAGCAGCAGCAAAGGCATGAGAGTCAGCTACACACTGATTGGCACGAGTCGCAACAGGGCGGCGGCGGCTCCTGGGCACCCGACGCACCGATTCGCACGCTCCCCCTGCGTCGGGCGCAGCCGGGCCATTGCGCGGCTGCCGACCCCTGGGCGGGCGCGGCGGCGGCGCTGAGCCGGGGCGCGAGCCCTGAGCCGCCGCTTGACAACGCGTCGCCGCACGGAGGCCTGTGGGGACCGCCGCGGGTGCAGGACGTCGCAGGCAGCCCAGCTGCAGCGCCCGGCGCCGCAGACGCTGACAGCCTCGCGCACGCGCGGCTGCGCCTGCCGCGGCTGCACATCGAGCGTGCGTCTCCGCCGCAGGCGGCGTCCGCGCTTGCGCCACTGGGGCGCCACGCGTCTCCAGGCGTGGCTGCCGGGTTGAGCGACGCGTGGGGCGCAGCCGACGGCGGCAGCCCGCAAGGCTACGAAGGCAGCGGCAGTGGCAGTTGGGCCGCGCCGAGCCTGAACCAGCGGCCGGCGCAGCCGTCGGCACCGCTCGGGGCGCAGCGGCAGGGGTCCGGCTCGTTCGTCGGGGCGCCGCGGTCGCCATTCCCTGGCCACATTGGCGGGGACAGCCGGCCCGGCGGCAGCGGGCTGTTTGGGCCTGGCGGGCCGCTGCCAGTCAGCCGCCAGAGCTCCTTCAGTTCCACATTTGGGCCCGGCAGAAGCCTAGCAGGGGGCAGCCCCGCGGGCGACAGCATCCGTGGCGGCGGCGCGGGGAGCGGCAGCTTGCTGGGCGGCAGCCCTGCTGGCGGCAGCGTCGGCGGCAGCCACTTGGGTGGCAGCCAACTGTGCGGCAGCCTGGCTGGCGGCAGCCCGCTGGGCGGCAGCCTGGCTGGGGGCAGCCCGCTGGGCGGCAGCCTGGCTGGCGGCAGCCCGCTGGGCGGCAACGCACTGGGTGGCAGCCCTGGCCCTGGGTTGCGCCACTCGCATCTCTCCAGCACCTGGGACTGGCCCCAGCGCTCCTGCGGCAGCGCCGCCGCTGCCGCCGCGCCAGACACGTGGCCGCAGCAGTCCGCGAGGCCGGCTGCCATTCAGGGCTGGGGCGGCGGCGGCCAGGCGGCCGGCGCGGGCGTGGGCGCGGGCGCCGCGTTGGCTGTGGGTGGGGGTGGCGGGGTGGATGAAAGCGAGGGCGCCCTGGATTGGGGGGACTCGAGGCTGGACCAGGTCATCCTGCCTCTGGGCAGCTCTCCCAGGGGTGGCAGCCCTGTCTCACGCCCTCCCCCGCGGCCTGCAGACTGCGAGCAGCAGCAGCGGCGGCAGCACCAACAGAAGCAGCAGCAACAGCAGCAGCAGCAGCAGCAGCAGCAGCAGCAGCAGCAGCAGCAGCTGGCGGGCAGTTGGCCGCAGAGTCTGGCGCCAGCAGTGAGCGCGGCTGCTGCGGCGCCGGCGACCTCTGATGCCAGCGAGTGTGGCGTCGGCAGTTACAACGGCAGCGGCTCCGGCAGGCTGCGCGAAGGGGGTGCGCTGGGCGCGTCATCTCGGGTGCCATCGCTCCCGGTATCAATGCCCATGGCCTCACCCGCGCACATGCACCACGCTGGCACCCCCCACGACGGCCCGTACGCGACCGCAGCGGCCGCGGCTGCACACCTCCAGCAGCAGCAGCAGCAGCACCAGCAGTCAGCACTGCAGGCCGCCGCCGCCGCGGCGGTCGCACAGGCCCAAGCCCACCAAGGTGTGTCCCTGCCCCCCCACGTCGTCGCCGGCATCGCGGCAGGCCTGGTGGCCGGCTCGAACGCCGGGCAAGCGGGCCCGCACGCC